TAAAAACAATGAGAGTCGACAAGGTTTTGTTGCCCCTCCGAGGCTCTAAAAACAATGATTATCGGAAGGTTTTGTTGCCCCTCCGGAGCTCTAAAAACAATAATAATCGGCAAGGTTTTGTTGCCCCTCTGGAGCTCTAAAAACAATAATTACCGGAAGGTTGTGTTGCCCCTACGGAGTTCTAAAAACAATAATAATCGGCAAGGTTTTGTTGCCCCTCCGGAGCTCTAAAAACAATAATAGTCGGCAAGGTTTTGTTGCCCCTCCGGAGCTCTAAAAACAATATTTATCGGAAGGTTTTGTTGCCCCTACGGAGTTCTAAAAACAATAATAATCGCAAGGTTTTGTTGCCCCTCCGGAGCTCTAAAAACAATAATAGTCGGCAAGGTTTTGTTGCCCCTCCGGAGCTCTAAAAACAATATGTATCGGAAGGTTTTGTTGCCCCTCCGGAGCTCTAAAAACAATAATTACCGGAAGGTTTTGTTGCCCCTCCGGAGCTCTAAAAAACAATGATAGTCGGCAAGGTTTTGTTGCCCCTCCGAGGCTCTAAAAACAATAATTATCGGAAGGTTTTGTCGCCCCTCCGGAGCTCTAAAAACAATTACCGGAAGGTGTTGTTGCCCCTCCGGAGCTTTAAAAACAATAATTACCGGAAGGTTTTGTTGCCCCTACGGAGCTCTAAAAACAATGATAGTCGGCAAGGTTTTGTTGCCCCTCCGGAGCTCTAAAAACAACAATTACCGGAAGGTTTTGTTGCCCCTCCGGAGCTCTAAAAACAATGATAGTCGGCAAGGTTTTGTTGCCCCTCCGAGGCTCTAAAAACAATAATTATCGGAAGGTTTTGTTGCCCCTACGGAGTTCTAAAAACAATAATAATCGGCAAGGTTTTGTTGCCCCTCCGGAGCTCTAAAAACAATAATAGTCGGCAAGGTTTTGTTGCCCCTCCGGAGCTCTAAACACAATATTTATCGGAAGGTTTTGTTGCCCCTCCGGAGCTCTAAAAACAATAATTACCGGAAGGTTTTGTTGCCCCTCCGGAGCTCTAAAAACAATGATAAGTCGGCAAGGTTTTGTTGCCCCTCCGAGGCTCTAAAAACAATAATTATCGGAAGGTTTTGTTGCCCCTCCGGAGCTCTAAAAACAATAATTACCGAAGGTTTTGTTGCCCCTCCGGAGCTCTAAAAACAATGATAGTCGGCAAGGTTTTGTTGCCCCTCCGAGGCTCTAAAAACAATAATTATCGGAAGGTTTTGTTGCCCCTCCGGAGCTCTAAAAACAATAATAGTCGGCAAGGTTTTGTTGCCCCTCCGGAGCTCTAAAAACAATATTTATCGGCAAGGTTTTGTGCCCCTCCGGAGCTCTAAAAACAATAATTACCAGAAGGTTTTGTTGCCCCTCCGGAGCTCTAAAAACAATGATAGTCGGCAAGGTTTTGTTGCCCCTCCGGAGCTCTAAAAACAACAATTACCGGAAGGTTTTGTTGCCCCTACGGAGCTCTAAAAACAATGATAGTCGGCAAGGTTTTGTTGCCCCTCCGGAGCTCTAAAAACAACAATTACCGGAAGGTTTTGTTGCCCCTCCGGAGCTCTAAAAACAATAATTATCGGCAAGGTTTTGTTGCCCCTCCGGAGCTCTAAAAACAATAATTACCAGAAGGTTTTGTTGCCCCTCCGGAGCTCTAAAAACAATGATAGTCGGCAAGGTTTTGTTGCCCCTCCGGAGCTCTAAAAACAATAATAGTCGGCAAGGTTTTGTTGCCCCTCCGGAGCTCTAAAAACAATAATTACCAGAAGGTTTTGTTGCCCCTCCGGAGCTCTAAAAACAATATTTATCGGCAAGGTTTTGTTGCCCCTCCGGAGCTCTAAAAACAATAATTACCAGAAGGTTTTGTTGCCCCTCCGGAGCTCTAAAAACAATAATAGTCGGCAAGGTTTTGTTGCCCCTCCGGAGCTCTAAAAACAATATTTATCGGCAAGGTTTTGTTGCCCCTCCGGAGCTCTAAAAACAATAATTACCGGAAGGTTTTGTTGCCCCTACGGAGCTCTAAAAACAATGATAGTCGGCAAGGTTTTGTTGCCCCTCCGGAGCTCTAAAAACAACAATTACCGGAAGGTTTTGTTGCCCCTCCGGAGCTCTAAAAACAATAATAGTCGGCAAGGTTTTGTTGCCCCTCCGGAGCTCTAAAAACAATATTTATCGGCAAGGTTTTGTTGCCCCTCCGGAGCTCTAAAAACAATAATTACCGGAAGGTTTTGTTGCCCCTACGGAGCTCTAAAAACAATGATAGTCGGCAAGGTTTTGTTGCCCCTCCGGAGCTCTAAAAACAAAAATTACCGGAAAGTTTTGTTGCCCCTCCGGAGCTCTGAAAACAATAATAGTCGGCAAGGTTTTGTTGCCCCTCCGGAGCTCTAAAAACAATAATTATCAGCAAGGCTTTGTTGCCCCTACGGAGATCTAAAACAATGATAATCGGCAAGACTTTGTTGCCCCTACGGAGATCTAAAACAATAATTATTGGCGAGACTTAATTTCCACTATGGAACTCCTAAATTAATTGGCGGGACTTAATTGCTTACGGAGATATGAAAGAATGTCTTCATCCAAATGACTGAAACGTTTGGCACAAAAACCGTAATGACTCAGGCTTAGTTTTTCAATCCATCCTTTTTATTTGAACCAATCAATATCAGGAAGTTTTGTTTACCCATCGTTGGTTCAACATCTTAACTTCGCGTTGTGACCTTTTTTGGTGCGTGTTCACAGTTTTTAATCAGTGAAAAACTTGGATTTTTCTCGGGAGGAGGGTCTGGAATTAAATCAGAAAAGGATTAAGAGTCGAGATAATGGTACAAAGAATCGTCTTCTTTACCATACGTTTTAATTAAAACGTCATAGCTTCCGCCCATCGCGCGGGAGGGGTGTGAATTGAGTTCAGAAAAGGATAATACCGGTAGTCGAGATCGAGACGAATCGTCTTCTTTCCCTAATAATTTATTAAAAACGTCTAAGCTTCTGCGCTTCCCTTGGAATTCAGAAAAGGATAAAGAGTCAAGAACGGTACAACGAATCATCTTCTTTCTCTAATAATTCAATGAAACGTCAAAGGGGGAAACTCCCCCCCCCCCTCCAGCTCCCCCCCCCCCCCAATTTTTTTTTGAAAAGCATTTTAAAGAGAAATAGAAAGAAAGAGAGCAAGAAAGAAAAAATAGTTAACTACCAGTTTCTCAACAAAATAAGGTATCAAAAATTGCTCATCTGATCGTAATTAAACGCCTAAAACCCCGGGACCCAACCAAGGGCCCTTTGGCAGGCCTCTTGATACTCATCTGACGGTAATGTAATGCTTTAAACCCATGGGCTTTTGGGGGCTCGCCCGCGGGACCTCACGCCAATCAGTATCCTGCCAGTGTCACAAATAAGGTATAAAAATATGTTCATCTGACCGTAATCAAATACCTGAAACCCCTGAAATTCAGGGGTTTCCGCACCCTAGACTCCACCAGGGGCCCTGAGGCGGGCCCCTGAATGCTTATCTGACCGTAATTTGCCTTCAACCCATGAGTTCCGGGGGCGAACAAGGTATCAAAAGATGTTCATCTGACCGCAGGCACGTAGCCGGGGGGGGGGGGGCAGTGGGGGCGCCCCCAAAAAAAAGCCAAAAAAAGAGAGGAGAGAAAAGGAAGAGGACGTATGAAGAAAAAGGAGCAGACAAAAAACATTTTTGAAATTCAGACAAGGATTAAGAGTCGAGAACGGTACAACGAATCGTCACAAACTAGGCATTGTGGCGTGCGCCTGTAATCCAGCTAACAGTGGAAGTTACAAACTGATTCAGCCGAGAACGCAGGTTCGAAACTGAGTCACGTCTTTCGGATGGTGACGTTAAAAGTCGGTCCCCAGACGTAAATAATCATATCTGATTGATACACGTCTGTAAAAAACCAAATACACACACACACACACGAATCGTCTTCTTTCTCTAATGATTTAATGAAACATAAAAGCTTCCGCGCTTTGCGCGGGAAGGGGAAAACTGTATTCATGCAGGCGAGGATTATTTTCGGGAACGGTACAACGAATCGTCTTGTTTCTCTAATAATTAAATTAAATGTCAAAGTTTCCGCGCTTCGATCGCGCAGGAGGTGGGGTAACTGAATTTAGACAAGGATTAAGAGTCGAGAACGATACAACAAATTGTCTTCTATTTCTAATGATTTAATAAAACGTAAAAGCTTTCGCGCTTTGCGCGCGCGGATGGGGGGGGAACTGAATTCAGACGAGGATTAAGAGTCGAGAACGGGACAACGAATCGTCTTCTTTCTCTAATGATTTAATGAAACGTAAAAGCTTCCGAGCTTTACGGGGGAGGGGGGGGGGATGAATTTAGACGAGGATTAAGAGTAAAAAACGGGACAACGAATCGTCTTTTTTCTCTAATGATTTAATGATACGTAAAAGCTTCCGAGCTTTGCGGGGGAGGGGGGGGGGGATGAATTTAGACGAGGATTAAGAGTAAAAAACGGTACAACGAATCCTCTTCTTTCTCTAATGATTTAATGAAACGTAAAAGCTTCCGCGCTTTGCGCGGAGAGAGGGGAACTGTATTCAGACGAGCAGGCACGTACGCAGGGGGGGGGGGGGGGGGTTTGGGGCGTTAAATCCCCCCCTTCGGTTTTTTTTATGTCTGTATTTTGGAGCAAACCCCCCCTTTTTTTTTTTAAATGAAACACACACACAAAAAAAAATTATGCCAATGGCTGATATAAGAAAAGTTACCTCACCTCCCACCCCTCCCCCCCCCCCCCCCCCCCAAAGGGAACAAAATGTCAAATTTTCAAATTTCGAGACCAAAAAACAAAAAAAAGTGTCCTCTTACCCCCCCCCCCCCCTCTTTTTTAACGGCTGGCTGAGTCGTTGCGATTTTTTTGGGGGACAAAAAAAAAAGTGGGCCCCCCCCCCCCCCCCCTAAGGAAGAAATCCTGGATCCGCCCCGGGGTGCACATATCCCCCCCCCCCCCCACCTTGAAAACAACGGCGTGAGGTAATTTTACGCGCACTTTCCACGTTGGCCTTAGTGCCCCTTAGGATAGATTTGTGCCCCTTTCAGTGGATTTGTGCCCTCTCAAAAAAGTGGCCTTGACCCAAATTTGATGTAATTCGAGGCCTGAACTGGACTACAAAATACCAAGTTCCCTCTTTAGCGTATGAAATCTTGTTTTGACAGACTCTTAGAAGATGTATTCCAATTATAATCTTTACAATCTTACAATTTTGATAAGAGAAAAAAAAGGAAAATATGAACTAGATGTACATCAAAATGAACTACAAAATACCAAGTTCCCTCTTTGGCGTATGAAATCTCGTTTTGACAATTATACTCTTTCAAATCTTTAAAATCTTACAATTTTGATAAAAGAAAAAAAGAAAATATGACTTAGATGTACATCAAATGGACTACGAAATACCAAGTTCCCTCTTTAGTGTATGAAATCTTGTTTTGATAAATTCGTAGAAGATATATTCCAATCTCATGTAGTCTTTCATGATCCGGGCCACCTCTGGGGAGGGTTGAACCTTGTGTTTGGTGACCATGACCGAGAGGTTTTTACCTACCTCTCCTGATACTGTGAATAAGGAAAATAATTGTCAGATTAGGCCTATTTATAATATTAAGGGAGTTTACAGATAGCACATGGTACAAATGACCCCAAATATCCACAGATCTTTTACACATGGAGAAGTTCCACTTTGAGCATCTTAGAATAATAACTGCCAAAGTCCTAGATGTGCTTCATGAATACCTTTTGTTTGACCTCTTGAAAAGAATACTTCCACCTGCGTATCATAGAATGTACCGTTGGTGCATAAATGAATAATGTTATATAACTTTCATGAGCGCATATCCAATAATCATCTCTGTGGGTTTTAACATTTTGTTACAAATGACCTTCATCTGCCCATGCGCAGATTGTATCTGTGAACTGGCTTATTCTGAAAATCCCTTTTGAAAAACTATTAAATAAAACTCCCATTTTGATAAACTGAAGAAAAAAACGTGTTTCATAATTCTGTTTTGTATTGAGTGTGCGCATGCACCACTTTTCTGCTGCTCTGCATACGTTAGCATGGAAGTGAGGAGTCTCATGACCAAAATAGCAGAATAATCAAGTCGCCAGTGTTGTATTAGAGCCATCCCCCTAAGGACTACACCTTCAGGCCAGGCATTTTTTAATGACCGTAAGGACAATACAGCACTCTTGACTGCTTTTCTTAAAGACGGTCAATACTACTGGGCCAGAAGGGATTAGACCACACAGCGAGGTCACTGGCAGGTGGCTTTCTCATTAACTCAGCTCTCAACTAACATAAGAAAAAGAGGATCATGGGGGACCAACAGGCACCGATTGGGGAAGTTTTCTATATAGAGGGAGCAAGTATAGCTACAAGTAGGACAGTGGGGCTTTAAAGTCATCCCCGGCTACTAGAAAGACTAAAGAGATAATAGTCTCAAGGATGCTGCAGATAAATTGTGCTTCATATAGGTCTTTCACATTCTGCATCCTTCGAACTGTTCTGATTTTCTTAAGACCTTACCTATATTTCTGTAGATGTCCAAGACACCGTCAAAGGCATCTGGGAGTACCTTCTCAAAGACCCTGAAGGTATCCTCAAGTTCCTCCAGGAGTCCTACAGCCACATAGTGATCTTGCACGTTCTGCTTTGCTTCATTCAAAGCCCAAGTAGAAGGATCCCTGAAAGAACAGGACATATCCGATTTCATATTACCATCAATCCTTCGTCATACAGGAGATCTTGGAGAATTTCTACATAAATTGACATCATTTTCCCAATGATTCTTGAAGCAATTGCCAGACTCCAAAAAGGGATGGCATACAATTGCAAATACCCTCAATTTTTGTAAATCAAATTTTAAACATATATTCACCTCCGAATTCAGAATTTCAATCATACTTGCATTTCAACCTCAGCCTTCGGCCTCAGCAAAATATGTCCCTCAGGTACAATGTTTATTTCTGAATTTGTTGGTTCACATATTTTGCATTCTAACAACTATGACATATACCGGTATATGGATCAGAAACATGGTCTCTCAGGTACAATGTTTAATTCTGAATTTATTGGTTCACATATTTTGCATTCTAACAACTATGACATATACCGGTATATGGATCAGAAACATGGTCATCGACAAAGGATCTAGAACGGAAGCTTGTGACTACTCAACGAGCTATGGAGCTATGGAGAGAAAGATGTCGCATTTATCTCTACAAGACAAAATCAATCACAAAGTCATACGCTAGAAAACAAAGGTTAAAGACATCATGGAGAAAGTTGGATAATCCAAGTGGAGATGGGCTGGGCATGGCAAGACTTCAGGACAATAGATAGGACAAATTGTTTAACAAAATGGCAACCAAGGATGGGAAAGAGAAGAAGAGGAAGGCAGAAGAGAAGATGGAGAGATGACCTAACATCATACATGGGAATGGCCGCTTGGACTAGGACAGCTAGAGACAGAAGAGAATGGAAATGTTATTAGGAGGGCTTTGTCCAACGTCTGGATGAACTATAGCCTGATAGATATTTTGTTATTTGGAATTGCAGAGCATGAAATATCAGTATATCATCTTTTTGGAGCCAGAAGGGCATTGACTCTGCATACTACAATATAAGTTAAAGGTAAAGACCAGTTTTGGAAACGCCCCCCTCTCAAAAAGTGAAATGGAAGCTCTTATTACCAATCATGTGAAGGAATTTGTTTTGACTAATACGTGATCATACAAATTTTGCCAAGAAACCGCCTACTAATTGATATATTTGATCATATACATCGTTCTGTGTACAGTGCTTGTAACTTTACCAAGACTGGGCCAAATTTCTTATCATTTTGATGATTCCGGAACCTTGCAGTACACACCAATACTTATATGCTAGATGATCAACCTTTTCTGATTGATTCCACACTGTTTCTTTCACAATGCAATCGCACGACCAGAACTCAACTGCATCTTTAAGAGCATGAAATATCAGTATATGATCTTTTTGGAGCCACTGAGAAGGGCATTGACTCTGCATACTACAATATAAGTTAATGCCCTTCTGGCTCCAAACAGACAAATTTATCACGGTGATCTACTGACCTGCATCTTGGATCCTGTCCACAGAAATATGGAATGATGTAAAAAGTTCTTCCCCCAAAGCACTCTTTCTTCTGATTCAGGACACACGAATCAAATGTCTGCAATAGAACAAGGTTAGATTTTATGGGTGGTATTCTCGAAAGCGGACTAACTTTAGTCCATGGTTTAATCCACCGACTAAGTATGGAATGCCAAGTGTCCATATGAATATGTTTTTGAGTAATTTAATCTGTCACTAAATTAAAATTAAATTTAATAACATAATTAATAAACAACAATATAACTGTGATATAATTATGTTATCACAGTAATTTAGGGACATATCAAATTATTCAAAAATATATTCATATGGAAAATTATGGACACTTGGCATTCCATACTTAGTCAGTGGATTAAACCATGGACTAAAGTTAGTCCGCTTTCGAGAATACCACCCTATGATTTTACATTGCTAACCATTCCTCTTTCGGAGGAATCATTCCTGCTTTTGGGCCTTCAAATTTACGTTGTGAACCCTGGGTTCCTCTCTTTTTCTCAAAAAAACCTCTGTCCAAAAATTTCAAAAGATAAGACTGTATTCCTAATAATGTCATGATAGATTCCTAATTACTGCTGTGAAAGGTTGCTAGGTATGATTTTGTTATTTTTTGCCACTTTCAAATATACATGATATAACTTATAAGAGATACATGTATCTTACAATGTCTTATTAACTGCAGGGAACACTTCGAAGTTGCTCAATTATTAGTTTCTTCTGTTGTTAGGTACGGCAAGCCATACATAATGTTTGTCCAACCTTCATGTAGCAACAAACGGAATGTATGTGTATGCAATTTGCATTCCGACTATAGAGATATAAAACAGGTGAATGTAATGGCTCGTTGCTATGTATAAATGTATAGGGAAAGTGATGGCTCAGTTGTTGAAAAAATGGCCTCGTTATGAACCGGTAGGTCCCAAGTTCGAAAAAAAATTGATGCGTAAGTGCCCTGGCATTAATCCTCGTTACAAAGTCCCTCGGAGAGGACTCAAAGCTGTCGGTCCCTAGCTAGTTGCTTACAAGCATACACAGGTATTTTTAGCAGCAAGGTACAAACAATCAACATTTGAATACATTTTGAAAGTATCCTCTATAGGACTCTCGTTGCACCCCTTTTGTTGTAGTCTATGTTTCCACATTTAGTAGAAATGTGAACATTGAGTGCAAGTGATCTTAGTTGGGTTATTATTAGGCCTAGTTATTATGCTCAATTGCTTCTTTTTCAGGTTTGATATGAAGTAGGCTTGGTTCTACTAAAGGAAAAGGCTTAGATGGTTAAAATAAGCTCCAGCCTCTCCCCCGCACCCCCCCCCCCCCAAAAAAAAAAAAATATATATATATATATTCTAATTTGATTCAGTTTTATAATAATATGTTGTTTTGTCTTTATCACAAAGTAGTAACTCTGCATCAGTAAACGAGAGTCAAAGTACAAATGCAAACTTAACCAAAAACAGAAAAAGACGTAATCAAGGAGTTGATCGAGTCAACTAGCCCAAAAGCTAAAACAATATGCATTGTTTTCCTTTTGATAGGGAGCCAGGCAGTTGTACAAAGATTTTAGATTCTTCTTTATCGTGAAGAAGCATCCTTGCAAGATTTTATTAAAGGTAATACAGAGTTTTGGTATGGGGTCATGAATTTGGTTCAAATGAACATATTGGAAGCATTATGCGATCCTACAATATTCAGTGATCGTTGTCGCGGTTGAAATCGAGTCTAAAGTTATGAAATTGTACATAATAAACTCTTTATGTTGTATAGCTCCCTCTCAAGGTCAAGATATTAATTAAGCTATAGAACAATGTTTCTTGACTAAAATCGACCGATTAGCTATTCCTGTTTGGAAATCATATATCATAACTACATATTCTGAGATTTTCATGGTCGCAGCTACCATTGTACGGCCGTAGGCGCTATTTGAAATTTATCAAAACTTACCGGGAGCACCGGTAAATTATTCAATTTTTCTCAAAAGCAGAAAGATTTTAGGGGCTAATTTTTCTAATGCTTATAATACATTTTCAGGGGCATCCAAATAAATCAAATGTGTGAAGAATCACTATCCGACCAATTTTCAAAATTTCCTAAAACTTTGTATTACCTTTAAAAGTGCTGCAATGCAACCGACACTCCCACACAACCTCTTACTCACTCCACTCCCCACCCCAAGCCTCAATAACACACTGAGCTTACTTCCTTTACGTAAGGGTTATTTCTCGTTCATAGTCTACATACACAGTCTCTATGCTGAAGCCTCCATGACACACTAGGCTTACTTCCTTCATGTACATGTATTAAAGGGACATGGCACATTCATAGTATGAAGCCTCAGACCCCAATTTGCCAATGCCCCTCAAGTTTGAGTTTGAGTTTGAGTTTATTAACAACAAAAATAATAACAAGTAAAAACATTATGTATGAAGCATGATTACATAAAAGATAACAGTAGTGAAGCCTAACCAAGTTTCTAATTGACTCTGACTGACAAGAAAGACTCCTATCAAAATATCCTAAACCGAGGCAGGTTTCCAAACTACTGACCCAAAAGTGGTCCAGAATTTAAACCCCTTGTTACTGGGACTTGCTAACAGCTCGGCAAGGGAGTTTTCTTGTGCTGCTCTCTAATTGCATTGCTGTACAATATTCAACATAACATAATCTCTTTACATGGGCCTCTAGGTTGCAGGCTGAGACTTAATTTGCTTGACTGCATGTTAACAAAATTTTGTCAAGCTTATCGAGCCTTGCCTTACTTGTCAGTCTCCAATTGTGTCAAAGGGCAGTAAGAGCTTATGTAATGGGTCTACATAAGCCAAGGGGTGCTATTACAATGAAAACGCATCAGGAAATATTTGAATTTCTTAAAGGGAATATTATGATTTTCAACAACATCAAGCAAATAGTAGGCCTAAGCTTCTAATAACTTCAGATGTCTATTTGATTATGATCAAAATTTGAGTCATTTCAAGTAACAAAATAAGACTGTTGCGGAATGTTCAAGAAGTTGTTACGCCCCCTCAAAAAAATGAAAATAAATGAACCTAATCCATAAAAGGGAACATTATAATATAGAGTTTTGCTTGGGAATTTGTTACTGGAGGATTAATATGGATAAAAAGAAATTGTTTAGATGATCACATTATCTCTTAAGCGTTGGTCACATCCCACCGTGCGTGTTTTTAGTCTGTACGGTTTTTGGGGAGGCCACGGCCGCCACGTTTTTCTGAAAACGTAGGGAGGGAGTGGCAAAGGCAGGGAGAGAGTACCGGCAAAGCACGTCACACGCACGGTGTAAGTACGTGGCCCGCACGCCACGCCTGGCCTAGAGCGGTTGCGTGCATCGTACGTTGCGCACGTTATAAGTGCGTTGTACGTGCTTACAACGTGCTTACTACGTGCTTACAACGTACGGTCTCCGTGCGGTTGCCACGTTATCTTACGGAGGCCGTACTTACACGTGCTGCTCACGTACGGTGTCCTTACTCACTCGCACGTTGTAAGTGCGTGCACGTACGAAGAACTTGGTGAGTCGGGGTATGTCGAAGTATATAGGACGACATTCCCATTTTCTCTAGAAGTCCCAGCTGCTGCTGCCTCCTCAAGATGCCGCCCATTCCACCGCAGAGACTCCGGGTTCTGATGCTGCAAGAACACCTTCAAGTGGCAGCGCATGAGCACGACGTGGTATTACTTGCCTTGCCTACGGGAGAGAGAGAGGCAACAGAGATGCCGACGCAGGAGATGGTGGGTTCGCCCATGGATCGAGAGGAGGAGGCTTTTCGGGCAGTACGAAACGTTGTTCCAAGAGCTAGAGCGTGAATCGCGGGGGGACTATGTCGGATACATCCGAATGGACCCCAATCTCTTCGCCGAGCTCCTGCTCCGAGTGACCCCTCGAATCACCAAGTGCCCAAGGTGTGTGTCTTCATTTCTGCCATAACAAATTCTTGGTTTTGCATTTACGACTTCCGGGTGGCACACAACAGCATATCCACGTTCGTGCCGGAGGTCTGCACCGCCATCTACAAGGAACATAAGGAGGAGATGTTCAACATGCCCTCCACACAGGACGAGTGGAAAGCCGTCGCCAGCCAGTTTGGAACGCGATGGAACTTTCACCACTGTTATGGGGCGATCGATGGGAAACATATCGCCATCAAGAAGCCCAGTAAAAGTGGATCGCTCTATTACAATTATAAGCGCTTCTGTTCTGTGGTGCTCCTGGCCATCGTGGATGCTAACTATTCCTTCTTGTGGTGCAAGGTGGGGGCAAACGGCTCTTCCTCAGACGCACGCGTGTTCAACGAGTCCACCCTCCGGGGGGCACTGGAGGACAACACCATTGGATTCCCAGCACCGGATCCACTTCCAGGCGACGACCGGAACTTTCCCTACTTCATCGTTGGCGATGATGCTTTTCCCCTGCGAAAGTGGCTCTTGAAGCCATACAGTCGCCGTGCCATGACCCACAAAGAGAGCGTGATGAACTATCGGACCTCTCGGGCCCGTCGGGTTGTGGAGAACAGATTCGGGATATTGGCTCACCGGTGGCGGTGCCTACTCACCACCCTGCTGTTGGAGCCTGACAGGGTGATTCGCGTTGTGTTGGGCTGCCTCACTCTTCACAATTGGCTGCGAAAGCGCCGGCCCGGACTATACGACCTTAATTTGGACCACGAGGATGAGGATGGCAACGTGGTCCCCGGTGCCTGGAGGGAGGATGTGCAGATGACCGAACCCAACCAGATGGTCGGCCAACGGGCCTCAAGGGAAGGGAAAACCCTGGGAAACTTATCGAAGAAGACCGGATTGACCGAGAAGAACTCAACCAGGCGCTCCTCCTGTTTCGCCGAGAACGAGCAGTTGGCCTTTTCCTTTGTCACACCCTTTTCATGTGACCCCTTCTCCGATCCACCAGCAGCACCCTCCTCATGATCAGACGCTTTGGCGTCACCATCTGACTCTTTTTCGCTCCTCCTCTCCTCTTCCTCTCTGGCCCTCTCATCTTCCGCGGCCCGTTTCTGTTGGGCCTCTCTGGCCTTCTTATCCGCTGCCTTTTGAGCTGCAGACGCAGCTGACCCCTTATTCTGTGTCTTCTTCGGCGCCATCTTGGAGACGAAATGTTGGCACTCTTCCGTCGGCTCGGCTTTTGTATACTGCATAAATCAGTGCGCACAACGTGCGTTGTAAGTGCGGAGCACGTGCTTACTCGGTATACGGTCCACGTGAGTTCTGCGTGCTCATTAGAAAGTTGAACTGGGGAAGTGGCGAGTAAGCACGGACCACGCGCTTAATTATCACGTGCGCAGCACGCACGTGCTAAGTGCGCCTTCCGTAGAGCAAGTGATCGTGGGAAACAAATTTAAAAACGCACGGAGTCAGTGCGTTGTGCGCTCGTTGGCAGTACCGGGCACGCACGTCACGCGCACTGGGGGTGAATCGGTAGCCCGAACGCAGCGAAAGTTCCTCGTGCACTAAAAGTGCTACGGTGTGTCTGCGTGCTCCCAAATCCGTACGGAGGCGGTACTCACCACGTACCGATACCCACATTTTGCCCACGTTTTTGCACGTAGACAGCACGCACTTGCAAGTACGGAGGGATGTGACCACCGCATTACCGGTATTCATTCTAGTTCCAATGTTTTCTGACTGTTTTCAAGACAATATAATGTTTGTCGATCATAGCTCTATGTAGCTTGATGTCTCGATGGTAATTTTTGGGGAAAAGCAATCTATATTAAGCAACGATTTCTGAATTTTAGCGACAATCGTTCGCCATTGCTGCTCTTTAATACTTCTATGACATGCAAATTGAAATTTCAGGACTCATGACAAATTCATTTAACAGTGATTCATCATTCCACTAGGTTGATACAATTGTTCAGATTATAAAGCAGAGAGAAATAAAAGTTGACATTCTCATGACTAACGACCATGCATGAATTATTTTTATTTGTTCATTGTCTCAATGCTATAGGAACAATATTTGATGACAATAAACGGCACTCTGGTACTATTTTTATGTACATGTAGCGTCATAAAATTTAATGATCATCAGCACTAGGTTTAATAATTTAAATGACCGAACTGAATTTGAACACGGGCTATACTCTCTCTCTCTCTCTCTCTCTCTATCTCTCTCTCTCTCTAGTTCTCTCTTTTTCTCTCTCTATCTAGTTCTCTCTTTCTCTCTCTCTCTCTCTCTCTCTCTATCTATTTCTCTCTTTTTCTCTCCCTCCCTCCCTCCCCCTCTCTCTCCCCCTCTCTCTCTGATTTCTAGGACCTTCGGGTATAATATTATGTCTGGGGGTCATTAGGCAGGTGATGGACATGACCGATGGGCTATTATACAGAAAACTTCAGATTGATTATGATTAAAATTTGAGTCATTTCAAGTAACAAAATAAGAAAATATGAAAATCTCAGAATGACTGGAAAGGGGGGAAACCATGCAACCCTCCAGTTTAAACCATATTTCCAGGATAGGAAGTAACCCTGCAGATGTCATAAAGCATTGAACCCAGCCAGGGGGTGTTTCACAAAGATCCCAAGTCGAACAAAACTCTAAGTTAGACTTAAATATTATGGAGAGCCATTTGTAGCCTTAAAATAAAATATATTCAAAAGCGAAAATTCAAATATTTTAGACTTTTTATAAATTCCACATCTAGAACATGAAATTTCCTTGATAATAGAAATATATGAATGATTATGATTTTTTCCAAAATATTTTCATAGATGCTAACGGCTTTCCATAATGTTTAAGTCCAACTTAGAGATAAGTTCAACTTAGGATCTTTGTGAAACACCCCCCTGGTAGTCATCAGTCCCTGGTTTCGTAAAAACACTTCAATACTGGGCCTTGAGGAGGTATGATGGCTCAGTGGAAGAGTAGTGGTCTTGTCAAAGGGAGGTCCCAGGTTTGCAACCAAATCAATGTGCTAGTGCCCTTTGGCAATGCACTTTTTGTTCATCTTATTAATACTATTCAGTGTTGCAATGCATACTTTATCATCAATTTGTATGTAATTTTTAATTGTTGATAATCCCAATTTCTCTCTTCCCCCCCTTCTTCACCTCTTCTCTCTCACTCTCTCTCTTCCTTCCTCTTTTTTTTTCTCTCTCTTTCTCTCTCTCTTTCCTCTCTCTTTCTCCACCTCTCTATCTTTCCTGCTTTTTCTCTTTCTTCACTATTCTCTCGGTCTCTTATCCTCTCTTTCTCTTTTTCTCACTTTCCTTCCCTCTCTCCTCCTCTTTCTCTTTAACCTATTTTTTCTACATATTTCCCTTCTTTCATCCTCACTTTCATACTTTACTTAAAGTACATATTCCCCATTTCCTTCTTGTTCGTATTTTTGCTTTTATATTATATTCGGTACTAAATTAAGGATATGTGATATATACGTGTATTTATAAATTATAATTATGTAAATGATACTGTTTTAAATTGTACTCTTGATCTTAACTTAAGATACAATGTATATCCATGTGCATGATTGAATAACTACTGTACTATTAATCTTCATTACAAAGTCCCTCAGAGAGGATTCAAAGCCACCAGTCCCCTGGTCGCTTACTCACAAGCATAGGCATACACATGCTTTCTTAGCAGCCAGGTATAACAGTTAGGCCTAAAATAAAAACTTTTGCCAAAACATGGGTCGGTCATCCAGAAAAGTTTTTTGTTTTAAACTTTTTTTTTGTCGCCCTCTTTGGGCCGTTATTTTCAGATTTGAATGTGTTTTTTTTTTCTTTTTCCCGCCCTCTTTTTAGCTGATATTTCTCAGTTTTTAATGCTTTAATACATGTGCTTAAGCGTCATCATTCCATGTTTTTCACCTCATAATTATCCATGGTTTGCACGAGTGAGAATTTTGGAATAATTTGATTTTATGCATTTATATCCCATTTAAACAAACAAAATACATATACCGGTATTTGTATTCCTTTATTAAAAAAAAAAAAAAAAACTTTTTTAAAATGCCGACCGTAGATTTTCAGATTTTTGGGTCAGTCGCAAAGGGCAATACAACAAGTTTTTATTTTAGGCCACAAACATTCATGTATGGGGTGCAGTCCAGTCTCACAGTGCATTCCTTGTGTCACATTTTATGACGGAAATTGAAAAGAATTTGTCCCTGCAATCTGGCTCATATCCTGCCTATAACAACACAGGTCAAGTCAAGGTCAAGTCAAGGTAAATTCGTACTTCCATGTAAACTTGTGAAACTCAATTACTTGCAGATTTTGTTGTGATAATGGTGCAGTTTGTCAGTGCTCACCTATCTACTGTTATAATGTCAAAGTCTGGAGTCTCCTGTATGAGACAAACCTATAAGTTTTGGTTTATACCTTCTCCTGAAAACTCCCTTTCCCTCTTGCCATCTCCAGAGTGCTCGGAATAGTACTGGGGCACAAAGTGAATTGCCGTTTAGTCTACAACCAGTTCATCTGCTACCCAATTAGTCTATTCCCATATGGTCTACACCAAGCCTGTCTACTATCCACATGGTCTAATCTCCAATTAATCTACTACCCATTTCATTAATTAGTTCATTAAGTCTAATCAGAAGGCAGAGCTAACCTCCAGAACATAAAATCAGTAATCACAAGGCTATAAATCAGTAAATTCCTAAGCGGCGCTATCTACTAACAAGGGAAACGCTCTCGGCGGTCTCGCCTGCATTACGCAATTCAATATGATGAAAAATTGAGGTTGGGACATTATTCATAGGCAGGGTGGCTCACAGCAGGCCCCCTCCCCCCCCCCCCCCCCCCCAATGAAATCCTCTTAATATAATCAGCATTTTGAAGTGAATATTGACCAAGAATCATCGGAAGAATTATTTACTAATTTGTCCAAGATTAATAACTTTAATAGATGAAAAAATATGATTTTTTTTTTTTGGGGTCTAATTTTAGACATGCCGTAATGATCGTTAATTTCTGTACCAATTACAGGAAATCCGTACTAGTGGGCAGCTCTGAGAAGGTCTAATAATCATTTGCTGATTATTACTATTCATGACTAAAAAGATTATTAGACCATATATGGTTGATAGACAAAATGGGCCTTAGACAAACTGGGAATTAGACCAACTAGATGAACGGCAATGGACTGTATTGGGGCACAGTAAAGATACTTAGAAAGACCCGACCGTTTTTGTTATCTTCTCCTATATACTCCCTGTACCTTCTTGCCGTCTCCAATGCACAAGAAATAGGAATGGGATATACACAAGAGAAATAATACAGAGAATAACAATGAAATGGTACTGGGGGGTGTTTCACAAAGATCCTCAGTTGAACTTAACTCTAAGTTGGACTTAAAAATTATGGAGAGTCAATGTAGCCTTAAAATGAAATATATTCAAAAGCGAAAAAATCAAATATTTTAGACTTTTTTATAAATTCCACATCAAGAAATTGAAATCTCCTTGATAATAGTAAATATGAATGATTTGAATCAACATCTTATGCCTTTTAAAATAACTTTTACTAAATGTTTTCATAGATGCTAACAGCTTTCCATAATTGTTGAGTCCACCTTAGAGATAAGTTCAACTTAAGATCTTTGTGAAACACCTCCCCCCCCCCCCCCAGGAAATAGAGTACTGAGACACACCTACCTGATACTTGTCTTTTCCTGAATAGTTCCTAGAACTCTTACCATCTCCAAAGCGCTGGAAATAGTAGTGCGATACCATCCGCGATAAGGGGTCCCGGATTATGTTGATATATTTTGGTTGCTTTACACCGTATCTGTAACGGAACAATGACTGTATTTAGTAGTATAGTTCCAGTGGAGGATCTCCCCCCTCCCTAATTAAACCTGCTTTAGTAACCACCTGTCTACAAAGACCTCATTTTTTGTTTCCCTTGAAAATGGTTTCTCATTGAAAAATGTACTAAAGGAACCTGTCTACAAAGACCACTTTTTGCGTTTCCCTTGGGCGGTCTGTATGACTGTATATATGCAGTATGTAGAGGCTTCTTGGAAAGGAAAAGAGATTAACGGATTGAGTAATTAATTAATTTTTACTGGTAGAAAAACAAAGGGGTTAACTCATTAACTCCTACTCATAATCTGCTAACTGTAAACAGTTAACCCCCTTTGTACTCCGTTATCCCCTTAATCTTCTTTGTAAATCTACCAGTAATAAACAATGAATTACTCCTTAATCTGTTAATCGCTTTTCCTTTACAAGAGGCCTCTACATGCTGCTTTTATATGATTTATAAAATGAAAATGTGCCCCCTGTTCCTCACCCACCCAACCCCACCCCACCCCCCCCCCCCCCCCAACACGCACATATCTATCTTAACCCAATGTACCATAACCCAACCCAACCCAATCTAACATATCTTTCCTGATTAATAATCATCAAAAAATATTTAGCTCTGTATGATATGATACTATGTTCAAGATATAATAATAATAATGAATACTTATAAAGCGCACTTATCAAAAACCTAACTCAAGGCGCTATACAAAATACACACTAACAAATACATATATTGTATTACAATATTTGTATTTGTTAGTGTGTATTTTTGTATTTTGTTTCTTTAGAATGCTTTTTAACTTAAAGTTAAAAAGCATTCTAAAGAAGTATAAAAGCGACCAGATTGTTAGCAGTGGTAGCATTTGGAGGGTACCCGGGGGGATACTCAGATTTGGTTTGGACAGGGGTGTGTCGCTCAAGCCTCGAAACCTTTACCCATTATTAGGGGTCATTTTGGGTCATTTTGGTTCATTTTTCTCGAAAAAAGACCCATTTTCTACAATTTTCAGGTGTTTTGGGACCCATGTTTAGGGATTTTTTGTGAAAAAGTGACCCATCAGAGCGGCACACCCCATATGTCCTAATATGTGGTACAATATTACTTTGATAAATTGTTACATTCAATCTACACCCAATTGAACCATTTTTTGCTAAATAAACTATGCACTTAGAGTCACTACAAAGTGATATACCACCAGTTTAGAATTCATAACTTTCATATTCTTCATCAGATTTTTCTCAAAGTTTCACTGATCCTTTTCTCTCAATTTCCTGCTTTTATTAAAAACTATCTCTACATCTGGGTGGATGTTACCTTGAACAGGCGGGGTGTTTCACAAAACTTGTCATCAGTGACAAATGACAGTTGTTGTTATAAGCTACTGAAATCCTTGCTTCTGATTGGTTATCAGCAGATTTGTCACTGATATTCATCATTTGTCATTGAAAAAAGGCTTTGTGAAACAGGTCCCAGGTTGGCAAAGACAAAGATACTCACCTGCGGAAATCTATGAAGTAGACATGCCTCTGAAAAAGGTAAGGTTTTTGTATTTGGCTTAAAACTGTTACCATCATTTTCTATGAAGAAAAAAAAGAGAGAAACAAGAAATCAATTAAGAAGTTCCCACTGGATTATAAGGGTTATTTGTAAAAAGGAAGAGATATTAACATGTAAAGAAATTAGGAAGTGAAATACACTCTGCAGTATCATAATAAGTCTACAACCTCCAAATGATTATTTTCTGTGAAGAGAAAATGGTGTAAATGTAAGGAACTATTTTGTACACACATTTTACTGATGATGATCTTTAATAATGTAATAATATACCATACTTATATAGCGCATATCACAATATGTCTCTATACGCTGTAAGAAAGAGTAAGAAGGCAAGGTGTAGAGCAGGCCTTCTCAACTAGTTTATTAGAAGTGCCAAAACAAAAAGAATTTGTAGTTGAAGTGCCACCCTGTATGGTTGACTGTGCTGCGAGGGAGCGTAGCGACCGAGCCGAAAATGGGTGGGGTCCAGGGGCGAAGCCCTTACGGGGGCAGCAGGGGGCAGAGCCCTCTGAAGCTGGTAGATTTAGGGCTTTCTAAAGGCCCAAATGGGGCATTTTCAACACCATTTCATTCCACAATATAATCAATCATAATTTCATATTGATGTGAACAAATTAGTACAATTCCTGGGTACAATTACACTGGAGGTATATTTATATGTAGTTTTTTGTGTGCAATGTCAACATAAAGTGAAAATCAAACAAAACAAAAACAAGATGTTTCCAGAGATTGGCAATGTTAAAAATTGGTATCCCATCGTAAGCTAATTGTTGTTTAGACCTTAGGTTTAGATTCGTATAAAATGGTAAAAAACGATAAATTCCCCTTTCTTCCTGTTTGTTAAGCAGGCATTTTGGGCTCAAATTCGATTGCAACTTCTTGATTTAGCTGAGTATTTAATTCTAAAATATATATTTTCTTTCTTTCTTTCTGTTTTTTGTTTTGTTCTTGCAACAGTCGCGCGCCACTCCGACTGACCGCAAGCGCCACAAGTGGCGCGCGCGCCGCCAGTTGAGAAGGCCTGGTGTAGAGTATCATAAGAAGAGTGAGATAAGCTCAACATACTTCCTCTCATTAACATTGGAAAGTTTTTTTGAAAAGAAATGTTTTAAGAGGTGCCTTAAAGTTGTCGACAGTATCAGTTTTATAGATTTTACGGTAGTTTATTCCAAAGTTCTTCCGATGCAACCTGAAAAGAGCAAGACCCGTAGAATTTAGTATTTATTTGTGGAATGGTGAGGAAAGACTTTGGGGAAGATGTGAGGGTTCTGTTTGGAACATATAGGGTAAGTAATTCCGTTAACTAAGTAGGAGCTAATCGTTTGAGGCACTTAAGAGTTAAAATCACTTAACTCAGTTGTCCTCCATTTGTTCCACCTATACCATTAATGTACTTGTTTTGTTTAATTACCATTCCTCCCCTTATCTCTTGTTACCATTGGCCTCCTTACTGTTGACATTCCTCTTTCATGCTAGTACATTGATAACATGATCACTATCTCTGTTCCTGAATCTCTCTGAACCCAGCTAGGGCAAACTTACCCCCATGTTTAGACTACCCGGGGAGTGTTCAAAAAGACTAAGATCAACTTTAAGTTGAACTTAACTATGGCAGGCCTTTCATGCCACTAGTTCGCCTAACCATTCCTGGCAATGGTTTCTCAAGGGACATACAAATCATGGTCACAAAACTAAAGAATTTACTTTCTTTGATGGTTCATTATTGAAGGAAAAAATATTATCTAAAGATCATAATATTAATTGAGAGACCAATGGTGAAAGCAACCAGTGGCATGAATGGCGTATTTATACAACATTGAATTTTATTATCTAGTCTATATGCCACTTTCCTTATACGTTTCTTTTAAACGAGCTTTGTGTAAATTCCCCCTTAGTCTGAACAGCTAAGCCCATAAAGCTGATGGCAGTGGTGGGATTTACAATATAGCCCCTACAATATACATGGTACATACAGTTAAAGGGAGTCACAAGTCATTTTCCATGTGCAGAAGGCCATAATTCGCTGACACCAGACTTGGTGGGAAAACCATTAATGGGAGTACAAATCTGCACACAGCAAACCCCTAGCTGCGGATCCCGCTTCGGATCCCGCTTCGGATCGGGTGAGGGAAAAGCAAAGCATTACATAAGGTCGAATGGTCATAAAACTCAAGGCCAATTACCCTTGTGATTGACAACACCTGTTATTGGGTAAACACCCGAACGGTGTTGAATTCCCCATGAGAGCTAACTACTGAGTGTCTTTAACAACTGAATTATTCATACCCCATGTAAATTTGATGTTTTTTGTGTTTTTGTAACTCAAGAATGAAAGCTGGACTAGTAGAATTATTGCTATACATGATACATCCAAGATGTCTGCCAAAACTTCATTTCCTTGCTAAATATTTGTCATCAAGACAACAACATATTTGTTGATTATAGTTCTATGTAGATTGATGTCTCTTAATTTATATGTAAATGCAAAAAATCTAAGCAGCGATTGCTGAATTTTATGTATACTACAGGTACTATGACAAGCAATAGCAAAATAATATTTCAGTACTCATGATAAATGTGTTTAACAGTTGATTGCACTCTGTTGATTCTGTATATTGTTCGGATTATTTTTAGAAGAGAACAGTCTCGCACTTAACGACGTTGTATTATTATTATTATTGCAATGCTCTTAGAATAAAGAACGCTCAGCTATGATTGTTAGCCTTCCTGGAAAAAGTTTCAATTGTTGTTAAGAAACTTTTGGTTGAGCCCAGTAGATCCCACGGGTTTCAGATTTTTGTCTGACTTGTTTCCAATAACAATATCAAACACATGATCATAATCTACTGGGTGCGAGCTAAGTTCTTGGGTCTAGTAGTAGTGGTATCATTCTGATCCATATTATCCTGATTATCTTTTGCAATACATCGTTTTCCCAGGATATATTGATATAATACATCCAAGATGTCTACCAAAACTCTCAATTCGTTGCTTAAATATTATCAGGAGAAATGATTTTGTTGTTGTCAATTAAAGAACATAGTTGAGGTAGATCTTTTTTTTTCGATGGTAGAGACGTTATCGGAGGTGTAAATTAGACCCGTTTCTAGATCTGATACATTTCCCTTTGTATTTGCCAGGTCTGTATCATATAAAGAGACAAGAGAGATAGAATGGAAAGTAGAAACATGAGGGAAAAGAGACAGAGTGATCAAGAGATTATAAGATAATGAGAGACAGAGAGAGAGAAACAGCAACATCATTTTATGAGATAAAGCGAATGAGAAATAGAATGGAAAATAGAAACATTATTAAAAGAGACAGCGAGAGAGAGAGAGAGAGAGAGAGAGAGACAGGGAGAGAGAGAGAGAGAGATTAAGATGAGAGACACAGAGAGAAAAATTGCCACATCATTTCACGAGATAAAGAGACAGAAAGATAGAATGGAAAATAGCAACATGACTACAAGAGACAGAGAGAGCAAGGGAATAAGAAAATGATAGACAGAGAGAGAAATAGCAACTGCATTTTATGAGATAAAAATAAAGAGAAATAAAATGGAAAATAGAAACATTAAAAGAGACAGAGAGAGAGAGCAAAAGATTAAGATGAGAGACACAGAGAGAAAAATTGCCACATCATTTCATGAGATAAAGAGACAGAGAGATATAATGGAAAGTAGCAACATGACTACAAGAGACAGAGAGAGCAAGAGAATAAGAAAATGATAGACAGAGAGAGAAACAGCAACATCATTTCATGAGATAAAGAGACAGAGAGATAGAATGGAAAGTGCAACATGACTACAGTAGAGAGAGAGAGAGAGAGAGCAAGAGATTAAGATGAGACATGCAACATCATTTCATGAGATAAAGAGACAGAGAGATAGAATGCTACAAGAGAGAGAAAGAGAATATGATAGACAGAGAGAGAAACAGCAACATCATTTCATGAGATAAAGAGACAGAGAGATAGAATGGAAAGTAGCAACATGACTACAAGAGACAGAGAGAGCAAGAGAATAAGAAAATGATAGACAGAGAGAGAAACAGCAACATCATTTCATGAGATAAAGAGACAGAGAGATAGAATGGAAAGTAGCAACATGACTACAAGAGACAGAGAGAGCAAGAGAATGATAGACAGAATCATTTCATGAGATAAAGAGACAGAGAGATAGAATGGAAACAACATGACTACATAATGAGAGAGAGAGAGAGAGAGAGATTAAGATGAGAGACACAGAGAGTAAAATTGCAACATCTTTTCATGAGATAAAGAGACAGAGAGATAGAATGGAAAGTAGCAACATGACTACAAGAGACAGAGAGAGCAAGAGAATAAGAAAATGATAGACAGAGAGAGAAACAGCAACATCATTTCATGAGATAAAGAGACAGAGAGATAGAATGGAAAGTAGCAACATGACTACAAGAGACAGAGAGAGCAAGAGAATAAGAAAATGATAGACAGAGAGAGAAACAGCAACATCATTTCATGAGATAAAGAGACAGAGAGATAGAATGGAAAGTTGCAACATGACTACATAATGTAGAGAGAGAGAGAGAGAGAGCAAGAGATTAAGATGAGAGACACAGAGAGTAAAATTGCAACATCTTTTCATGAGATAAAGAGACAGAGAGATAGAATGGAAAGTAGCAACATGACTACAAGAGACAGAGAGAGCAAGAGAATAAGAAAATGATAGACAGAGAGAGAAACAGCAACATCATTTCATGAGATAAAGAGACAGAGAGATAGAATGGAAAGTAGCAACATGACTACAAGAGACAGAGAGAGCAAGAGAATAAGAAAATGATAGACAGAGAGAGAAACAGCAACATCATTTCATGAGATAAAGAGACAGAGAGATAGAATGGAAAGTAGCAACATGACTACAAGAGACAGAGAGAGCAAGAGCAACATCATTTTATAAGATGAATGGATAAAGAGGTAGAGAGATAGAATGACAAATAGAAACGTGAGAAAAGGAGACAGACGGCTCAAGACACTGCTGTTGAGAAAATGTGTTAGAGTGTATGAGTTATTAAAGTGGATTGCTACCCTTCTGGCTCCAAACAGAAATGAGACAGAGAGAGAGGGGGAGAGAGAGGAGGAGGGAGGGAGGGAGGTAGGGAGGGAGGGAGATAGAGAGAGAGAGAGAGAGAGATGACGATGAGAGCAACATACACACAGAGAATCAGAGTAGTCTACATACACACAGAGAATCAGAGTAGTCGTGTTGCTACTTTCCATTCTATCTCTCTGTCTCTGTATCTCTTTATCATATATTATCTAAATATAAGATTCAATATTTGGCTCTTTTGTTAGTTGTTTATTAGGTTAGTAACTTCATTTCTTATCTTATGTTGTGTTCCTTTTTTTTAATGTGTGTTTTATGTGGTTGGCCTCATACAAGGTTTGTTTCCTTTTTGACCACTACCTTCCTCACTTGTTATAATTCATCTTCTGTATTGTCATACATTTGTCAGTTTATACATGTATTTTTATCTGTTGATCTCTTGAGATGAAATAAATGAAACTGAAACTGAAACAGAGACAAAAGGAAACTTGACAGAAAATTACAAACACAAGAAAGAAGAGTCCAGAGAGAAAGATAAAAAGAAATAGATACTATGAGAGCATCAGACACAGGCACAGAGAAGGAGAGACAATCGGAAAGGGTAGGAATCATGAAGAAAGAAATACGTGAATAGGATACTCACCTCATACTCTGGAACTAGTCTTGTTGCATTGTACGTTAAGGAAGACACCAAGTGAAACTGGTTCTTCAGAGCCAATAGTCTCAGAACTGCAATGACAGATCGGCTGCCGCACTTCCCCACTCTGTTGTAAAAAATTGCAGCTCCTGTCTGCGTCTGTTTATTGTCAAAAAGGATTTGGGGGAACAGTTCAACTGACCATGAATATCCACTGGGATCGTTATCCCATTAGGCCTGTCTTCATCGGCTTGAGTTTGCCAAATAACCTGCTATTTTCAGACTCGGGATATTATCCCGAAGCTCGAAATTGTGTCCTCAACAGACCGATACGCTCATCACAAACTAGCTCGGACGGGCGCAAATTAGCCCGCTATCCCCCAAATAGCGGGATACTTTGGAAACAAGACCAAGATTTCTCAGGATATTTTCTCGACCAAATACCCCGCTAATTGCAACTGCGGGCTGATGAAGACGCAAATTAATTGGTTAATTTGTGATCGGGATAGTTAAAATAGTGGGCTATTTGGCAAACTCGACTTCCTACAGGATCATCCAGGATCCAGAAGGATATGGAAGTCTGGTCCACAAATAATATCCTATCAATAAAAGCAGGAAAAAACCCAGACAGACAGATTAAAAAGTTGCAGGAAAATTAGACAACTAGGAAAAAAGTTCTCAATGACATTAAAAAGACAATGGAAAAACTAAAATCCACTAGAAAAGTTGCCAATTCTCTCATGACCTTTCTTTATCATTCTTTATGACAGTACCAATATCAATTTTTTTTTACTGATAAGAAAAATTCCCCATTTTTCCTACAATTTCTAATTTTGGTGACAACCATACCACATTTTGTGATTTTGCCCAATAATTTTTTATTCAGAAAAAATAAAGTCCTGCACACTGCCTTCATTTTTTGGTTCATGTTTATATTGCATTTGATGCCAGGAATTTTAAAAAGGAAATTAATATTTTACACGATGAGAGATTGAAATTAATTTGTTTTTCAATCAAAATTGGCAATATGTTGCCAATTTTTCGACACCATCCTCACCCAACGGGAGTGTTTGCTCAGTCAGTAGAGCGTCCGCCTCACAACCGGGAGGTCGTGGGTTGGATCCCCGGCCGCGTCATACCAAAAGACGTTAAAAGATGGGAGTTGCTGCTACCTTGTTTGGCGTTCAACAATAAGGGATAGAGCAACGTCGATCTGGCGCTGCTCAGTGGCTGCCGGGCTCACGATCAATTGGGCAAAAAGAATTTTCATTTCGGTTTAATAAAATTTGGAGTGGACTAAAAGATTATTATTATTATTATTATTATTATATGTATATTGTTTCACAGTTTTAACAAGGTAAAAAAATTGTTTTATTGTTTCCAATTTAAAGAAAAATGTTTGATCAATTTAGCCCTAAAATAAAATCCTGTCCTGAAAAGGTTAATCAAAGTTATATTAATAGTTGCCTAGTGTGGGCACAAATATAACTGTATTTTGGGCTTTTCAAGTACATATTACCAACAAGGTACATACACCAGGGAGGTGAAAGAACAGGAGGCGAAACTCTTGTAATTTATTCAAACGCATTCTTGAGTTCTAAAGCGTAACAATGGGATGTGTAACATTCCACTTGGCTTTGAAGTTCCATGCTCCGAACCGCGCTTCCACTGCGGGTAATTTCGGAAGCCAGGCACCAGTTTTACATTTATTACAAAATATTAAATTACCGGCAAAATTACAGTGTAAATTAAAAACTTTATATGGGAATTTTATTGGGAATAGTGCATCAAACAAATTTTCAAATTTAGAACTCCGTCCTGCCTTTAAATTGTGTGCCAGAGTTGGTAAAAGAAAAATTACATCCTGTCAAAAATTCAATATTTTAGGATGATGCGCTAATTTGTGCATGCTTTAATGTCCCGTTATTTGATCCATGACTTACAATCTTCAATAACATTAAGTTTGCTAATGCGTGTTTTCGCGTGTTTTTTGTATTTTTCAAGTTTAAAAAAGAATGAAATTACACAAGTTTGTGTTCGCTTGTTCTACTCTTTACACATTCAACAATGGATGAGAAATCATTGGAAGGGACAGCGAACAGTTGCTGTGATACCATTTTCTGATGTAGGAATTCTAAATCCTAAAATTTCATGCGCTCTTGTATCTCACCACCTGGTCAACAGCTGCAGATTAGCGCATAACTTTCCGGCGGCTTGGAGCATGGGGTCAAAGGAGAACGGCTTGATTCAAGTCCTTCTCTATCACGTCCCTGCATACACATACACATTTGTAATCGTTGTGAAAATATGAGATTTTCCTCGAAATTGTCTTGCTTTAAAAAAAACACTATACCATTTTCGTCATTTTCACGTGTAATTCGATGTTAGTGAACATCCCTGAAATTACAAGTTATAAATGCAAAATTTGTTGCTATCATTCAAGCACACTACAAAACTTATTATGAGAGGAATGATATCATCTGGGGGGCGTTTCACAAAACTTGTCATCAGTGACAAATGACAGTTTTTGTTATAAGCTACTGAAATCCTTGCTTCTGATTGGTTATCAGCAGATTTGTCACTGATTTTTGTCATTTGTCATTGACAAAAGGCTTTGTGAAACAGGTCCCAGGATACAAGCTCACCTCTGGCTCATTCAGACCGGTTACCAGCGGCAACGTCTTCCATGCTGTTTTATCATATTCATCCCATTCATGCAAGAAACGTCTCTTTGGTCCCATTTCTGTTTTAAGTTGTCCTGCCTTCTCTTCCTCAATTTGCTTTTCATCTGCCTGCAGCTCCTTTGTTCTGGCTTGTGCATTGAGCACTCTTAAATGATTCGGGGCGGCATCAACTGGGCCCCCCTCCTCGTCATCGTCGACATCGTCCTCGGACTCCTGTGGGTCGTCGTCATCCGAGGATACCCTGACCTCTCCTGCGTTGTCCCCGGTGAGGTCGCTAGGTCGCTCTTTGACCTCATCGTCCGAGAAGTTGCTGGATGATGCGAGGTAGGAGTCTTCACTGCCGTTGCTTGCATGTAGTGTCTTGCTTGGTTTGTCTGTAATTTAAAAAAAAATAAGGTTGACTTGTACTTTGCAGTTGATCATATTTCGCGGGCTGTCCCCAAGATGGCTGTAAATGTAAGAGCTATGTATTGTCAATGGCTGACAGCTGACAATTTGTGAGCTTTAATTCTTTGCATTTTCATATGGAATACTCCAGTGTCCCCCCCTCCCCCCCCCCCCCTCCCCCATTTATGATTTGTAAGCAAAATGGTGCAAATTTGTTAATTTTGATGATTTTAAAACCTTATGACACAGAATCATTCCTACTTACTGCGTACATGTATACATACACTAGTTATAATCATCTGGCAATAATTACTATGTATGTACATGCAGTAAGTAGGAATAATTCTGTGAGGTTATGAATCATCAAATCCTATGGGGGCGATAACGGCATTTATCAAACTTGTGAAAAGTGCAATAACAATGGCACTGTTATAAGTTTAAGCATAACTTTTTATTCTTTTTTAAACATGCACATGTGGTCGCATGGCCTGGCACTCACTATTAAAATAACTTCATATTGCACAGCTATGAATGGCACCATATAAAAGGTAGTTGTTGTTGTTCGATTATGTTTTAAGGCAATTTAGTCAAAACTGACTATTTATGCCTTTAAGGCTCATATAAACTTCTTTTAAAGGGTGCGGGAGGGTGGCAAAAGGGCACTCAATAAATGTATGTACACAACAATGGCACTGCAATCATGCCAATGCCATGCCTCGACCCATGTCCTTGAACAGTGCAAAGGTTTGAAAATGTGTAATTTGTTGCAAAATTTATCAAAACACGGTATTCACCTGCAGCTCAGTTGCACAGTTATTACCACAATGAATATTTTACATTTTTGAGGGGAAATCTCTTGCTCCAAATTTGTGTTCCATAAATATCTGACTCAGAGGAAGGGCTAGAACAAGGATCAAGTCTGAAAATAATCTTGAAACACACTGAAAATCAGAACAAGAACAATAAATAACAGAAAGAAGAAAAGAATGGTAGAGAAGAAAGATTAATCAATCATATTTATCATTTTTATTGTGAAGGCATGTACTCCTTTTCACCCATCCCCCCACCCCTCAACAGATAAATATCTACTTCATGGATAAACCATTCTCTTGAACAGTGCCAACAATTACAAAATCTAATCATGCTAATAAATGAGATCTGATCGCCATTGCACTGCAGATGAACTGAGGGGGTGAATTCGCGTGGGATGTGCAACACATTACCGTTTCTTAAAAGGAAGTGAAAAGACGTCTGAGGATATAGCGACGTTTCCCTCTTTAACAAATCATTTTTACAGAAAATAATGATGAAAATGATGTGACAATCTTCCTTACCATCACTGGGCCTTTGACCTTTCTTTGATCGCAGTTCAAACTTTAAAACTTTCTGCTGAATATTCAAGACTCCATCATTGTGAATTATCGGCCCATGACGATCGTCTGTTGTTCTATCATTGTGCAGTGCGACCAATAGAAAGACGAGCGCAAGTGCAAATAGAAGAAGCAAAGTATACACAGTCGGTCTTCTGTGAAACATTTCGCGCTAGTTTCTACCTCCCATTTATGGCAAACTTCCACAGATATAGCTTAGGCTACTGTCCTTGTATGCAGTACATCACAGATGTAAACTAATTAAAATCCAGTGTCCAGGTAAATTACTCATATCTAGAATGTGGTTGTCTGGATTCGGATTCCACCACTCAGCAAATTTCATGAAGAGGAATTGTGACTGTGCTCAGCTCACTGCACGGTCAAACATAAGAACAAATTTTGGGCATCTGATCACGCGGTCTCGCTCCGCGGTCTACAACACGTGAAATCGTCTTTGAAAATGCGCTAAGTGTGCAAAGAAATGCTCCTACGAGGTAAACAAACTTTGATTACACACCATCTCGGGTGGAAATCACATATTCAAATACTGTTCTTTCCACTGATACCAATTTCGAACTGATTTGAATACCGGAAAATAGGGCCATTTCGTCTTCAAAAATGGACAACAATCATTCAATTTGTGATTTCTCTATGGAGGTCACAGGAAAATTCGTCTTTTTCACTGGGGTTGTGTACTTCAAGGAGCTAATGCTCGTAACTGCGACTTGTTATTGGGCCATCTCGGGCGCCAAATCATAGGTTATATAATCCCGTGTCGTCTGATGTAACACATAATTTGATTGGTTGTCGAGAAATTAGGGCCAATTTCAATCCAATAAAAAGAAGCTTTCTGAAATGTACGCATCGACCTCCTTAATTTATGCATTGTGCGTAAGCGAGGTTTTTACACAGCGGACAATGAGGCTTACACACCGTGCTCGCAGCCGTGCGTATTTCGACCATCAGATTTGACTCGGCTCCGCGGCGATGGAAAAGACACATTTTATGTTGATTTCAGCAATTTACTGAAGGGAATTTAGATATTATTGACGATGTTTTACAAAAAAGATGTGTAGGGATTAGATTATATCTCTCACGAGACACTGAATTCTTTAGTTTTCCTGAAATTTAGCAAATTAGTGGCACTCTGAACTCGCTTTATGAGCAGATCTAAATATTCATGGTCGATCTGCTAGTGAAGGAATCGCGTATTCATATTGCAGGGTGATCCCGCCCATCTTAGACGGAGGGATAACAATGGATCTGCATTGTGATGTGTATCTGCATCTACTAGACTAACATATATAATTTCCTGATTTGTTTTCTTTTTTTCGGGAGAAGAAGAGGGAAGAGAGAGAGACAGAGAGAGAGAGTTGACAAGTCACGCTCGCACAGCGGTCTTGACATTCACACTCTCACCAGTTTTCTACGATAAACCCCTATTTCATAAATATCGACGAGTCCGGTACCTTGGTGTTACGCTCTAGTGCACTCGAACGTTCGTCGTCTGTGTGGGAGGTACACAAAATGCCTCATTTATCTTTTGGCCGAATGTGGGTCAAATTTGTTCATATGACTTTCCTCATCCACGTATATACGCAGAACGAGCGCGCGTTTGAGCCTCTGCACTCGGAGGTGCGAAATATGATACCACCACCATCCATAATGCAGGCGCGGATCCAGGATTTTCCAATAGGGGGGGGGGGGGGGGGGGGGGGGGGGGGGGGGGGGGGGGGGGGGGGGGGGGGGGGGGGGGGGGGGGGGGGGGGGGGGGGGGCCGGAAATTCGAAAATCGCGCAGACCGTTATTTCAACTTACCAATACTGACAAGGTGATATTAGAAGCACTGTACTTAGTGTACTGGTACCTACAAGCGGGCACAATTTTTGAAAGGGGACATGCTCACGTCACGTCTCTGCCGATATCAACATTCCCTGTTTTCATGTTATGCTCGCTCGCAATTTTTTTGACATTTCCATCAGTGGGAGCTGAAGCCTCTTGCCCCAATATCTATTTCCTGGTTTCATAATTTGGCGAGCGAGCGGAAATTTGAGCATATGTATGCTGTGAAAGTGTTATTTGTCACCAAAACATACGAGATAAGATATAAAAAATGCATATTGGTAATTTTTAAATTTTCGGGGAAAGAGAGGCTGCAACCCCATCCCGCATTAACTGCAGGTGTTTTGAAATGAAATCAGACTCCCCCAAAAATTATTAACCAAAACGCACGAATCCAGTTTCAAAAATCCAAAAAATGTCAGCTTCAGAGGGGGGCACATCCCCCTCAGACTCCCTCTAAAAGTATTAACCGAATCGCACGAATCCTGTTAAAAAATTCAGCTTCAGAGATAGAGAGGACATCCCCCCCCCCCCCTCACAGACACCCCCTTTGCGCGCAAGCGCGAAATTAACACTGGCGCGTCCGGGCGCTAATGCGTAAGCAGAGGCGGCGGAGCTATTTCGAAAGTGGAAAGCACCAACAAAAAAGGGCACCTACAAAGCGAAATCTCATAGCGAAAATATACATTTTTTTAGACATTGGTATATACCCCTTCATTGTGATTCCATTATCAGGGACGATTTCCATATTTGTTTTTCTTTATATATACAGGCGCGGATCCACGGGCCGATTCTACCGCCCCCCCCCCCCCCCCCCCCCCCCGCCTAGCCTCCCAAACCGGTAAAAAAAAAATAGGATAGTAACGTAAATTCTACCTTAAAAGAAATTCTGACCTGCCAGTGACACAAATGCGGCATCAAAATATTTGTGCTTCTCTGACCGTAATTAAATGCCTAAAACCCCTGAGCTTCCTGGGGCTCCGCCCCCTGAACCCCCCCCCCCCCCCCCACACACACAAATTTACGCTCGCTACGCTCTACCTGATCGTAAATACTTTAGCCCCCCCCCCCCCCCCCCAACTTTGATAAACATTCCGCGGGGCCTGTGTATATATATACGCATACAACACTAATCTTTATGATGTCTTTAACGTGACATATCTTCTTCTCCCCTTGCAAACGAGAAAGAAAACAAAGTCATTAAAGGCAATTTAGTCAAAACTGACTATTTATGCCTTTAAGGCTCATATAAACTTCTTTTAAAGGGTGCGGGAGGGTGGCAAAAGGGCACTCAATAAATGTATGTACACAACAATGGCACTGCAATCATGCCAATGCCATGCCTCGACCCATGTCCTTGAACAGTGCAAAGGTTTGAAAATGTGTAATTTGTTGCAAAATTTATCAAAACACGGTATTCACCTGCAGCTCAGTTGCACAGTTATTACCACAATGAATATTTTACATTTTTGAGGGGAAATCTCTTGCTCCAAATTTGTGTTCCATAAATATCTGACTCAGAGGAAGGGCTAGAACAAGGATCAAGTCTGAAAATAATCTTGAAACACACTGAAAATCAGAACAAGAACAATAAATAACAGAAAGAAGAAAAGAATGGTAGAAAGATTAATCAATCATATTTATCATTTTTATTGTGAAGGCATGTACTCCTTTTCACCCATCCCCCCACCCCTCAACAGATAAATATCTACTTCATGGATAAACCATTCTCTTGAACAGTGCCAACAATTACAAAATCTAATCATGCTAATAAATGAGATCTGATCGCCATTGCACTGCAGATGAACTGAGGGGGTGAATTCGCGTGGGATGTGCAACACATTACCGTTTCTTAAAAGGAAGTGAAAAGACGTCTGAGGATATAGCGACGTTTCCCTCTTTAACAAATCATTTTTACAGAAAATAATGATGAAAATGATGTGACAATCTTCCTTACCATCACTGGGCCTTTGACCTTTCTTTGATCGCAGTTCAAACTTTAAAACTTTCTGCTGAATATTCAAGACTCCATCATTGTGAATTATCGGCCCATGACGATCGTCTGTTGTTCTATCATTGTGCAGTGCGACCAATAGAAAGACGAGCGCAAGTGCAAATAGAAGAAGCAAAGTATACACAGTTAGTCCGGCAGCCATCTCGATATACCTTGTTTTAGGGTCTATAGTTTTTTTTTTTTTTGGATTATAGTTCCTTAGACCATCAATTTGAAGAATCCGATTGCTGACACTCTGTCAGCCTTGAGCAATTTGAGATATGTGACGTCACACAAAATGGCCGCCAAAATACCCTTTTTACCAAAATTAATGATAACAAAATTGTTTACAGTATTTTTCTACATTAAATATCAGTCAAATATCTTGATTTTTTCTAGGATCATCACTAAATAAAAATTGACGATGTTTTATGATCAAAAATGGCATGTAAATTTGCATAAATCAGATTGGCGCCCTCTATAGACACGTTAACTTGCAAATTTTAAATGATGGCCAAATGCCAATTTCTAACATGAAATTAACATTTGTTATAAGTTAGACGCACTGAATAAAATTAGTAAAAATTGTGCACCACATTTTGGTGTGATTTTTTTGTTATTTTGTACTTTAAAGGTAAAGATCAGTTTTGGAAACGCCCCCTCTCAAAAAATGAAATGGAAGCTCTTATCACCAATCACGTGAAAGAATATGTTTTGACTAATACGTGATGATACAAATTTGGCCGAGAAACCGCCCACTAATTGATATATTTGGTAAATTATTATATCTATTTAGACCTGATAGATATCGCGCACGTGTCGCGTAGTCCCATATACATCTTTCTGTGTACAGTGCTTGTAACTTTACCAAGACTGGGCCAAATTTCTAATCATTTTGATGATTCCAGAACCTTGCAGTACACACCAATACTTATATGCTAGATGATCAACCTTTTCTGATCGATTCCACAACGTTTCTTTCACAATGCAATCGCATGACCATAATTAGTCTTTATCTTTAATACTTGAAGAAAACAAGCTATAATTTCATGCTCTCTGTCCCATAGATATGAGGTGCCATATGTTATAAATGCCCGTTTTCAGTGACAGCATTACGAAATTTGATTTGTATTTTGAGGTAATACATTCTTTTATATGAACCTATCATGAAAAGGTTCCTCTCTTACAAGGGAATTTATGAGTTTAATAAAGCGAAATATCCACTCAAAATGACCAAACATGGTTACCTTCCAATGGCTATCATTTGCTGCTTTAGTTTGATCGTTATAACACTCGACAGAGGCGCGAAAACCACAGAAAATTGTGCATGCTAGTTTTGCTTTGTTGCATTGGCACCGTGATGATTTACATAGGCTTCCACTCGCACACGTGCACCGTATTAACCTTAATATGTTGTCCGGTGCGAGTTGTACATTTGTAAGTACTGTGACAGGGATCAGGGATTTGGTTTCCTCTTCTTTTGCATAGCCATAATTTGTAGGATCCAATGATGTGGGTTGTGACTGCAAGGCGTGCTTCCACACACATGTTTGCAGATGAGCTCTCTTGCCAACTGAGTCCAAAGGGAGTCAAATCTTCTGCTTCATCACTTTCAGCAATGCATGTACCCTTTTCAATCCCAAAGTATGCACCAATATTGTCGCATCCCCTCAACGCATGTCCTGCCAACATCGATGGAATAATATCTCCTAACTTGTGTACAGTGGCAGGAATGTAAATAACAGTTCGCTCTTTGATGACTCCATGATCATTGGCATTCTAAGTTATTCATGTAGATAATGATGGACCCTAACCCTAACAGCCAGGACCCTAACATACCTTTTCTCATTAGCAGCAATTAGAATCGCTTGCTGTACTATGATGTTGTCTGCTTCTTCATGTGTTATGGAAAGATCTTCCCTTGGCATGACATCGCTGCCTGGTATCACTTCAACAGGAACCTCATCTCCACTGGTAATGACCAGCTTGTGCTTTTGCCTACTT